ATCTGAGTATGTTTATCAGCAGTCTGTCTACCGCAGCACAGATTCTACTTCATTTTGGATCAGCCGGCCGGCCGTGTGTCATCTAGTGATAAGTTATTAATATTATTATAGCAGGAATTTGCTTGTGCCTGAGGCGAATAATTTTAAATTACAGCTGCGGTACTTAGATACTACTGTAATCTAAACTCTCCATCAATCAAAATGTTTGACAAACAAAACCAAATCAAACGACAATGGTTTATAATCAAATCAATCATTTTATTGATTATAAGTCAAATTTATTTTAATGGACCTTGCTTATTAGTAGGAGTAAATAACTCAGACCTGGATTAAGAATATGTTAACAGGTCACGCTTGGTATAGTAGGCCAAGACTTCCTTTCTAAGGAGAGGACTATGTCCAGCAGTGGACTATTAAAGGCTGTTGATGTGATGTGGGATGTGATGTCACGCAAGTATGTACTTCGATAGGATATATCTATTTCGCGCATCATGTGATGTTAATCCATACTTATATTATATGTCAAAGTGAGTTTGTTTGTTTGATACGCTTTCACGCCTAAACCACTGAATCAATTTAAAAAAATATTTCACCAATAGAAATCTACATTATCAGCGAGTAACATAGGCTACTATTTACCGCTATAACCCATGTACACGCGGGCGGAGCGCCGGGCTAAATTAGTATAGCATATCAATCAGAACCCGGTCACTATCCGGTATCACTCCGGTCGAGCTGACCCATTTGTACCGAAGCATAACTCTCCCACGAATATTAGAATAATAATAATATTTTGGACATCTAACACACAACGCCATCTAGTTTCAAACTATGCAGAGCTTGTACTTTGAAAGCTAGAATACTTATATACTTTTGTTTGTAAATACATACATATTATACATGGAAAACACCCAGACTCCGAAACAAATATTTGTAGATCATACAAACTTTTGGTGCGACTCGGGAATCGAACCCAAGACCTCAGCACAGCAGTCGCATACGGCCTACCGCTACACCACCGAGGCAGTTAAATGTAGTAAGTAACATTTTTCAACTTTACGATAGTAACCTAACACGAGTTTATTGCAAATAAAAAATAATTGCCGCCGTATAAAATACCGTAAAAACACAAAACGTGTATGTTGTATTGACCTAATGAATCTCGTGAGATAAAATTCTTGTCGAACTACGCTTAAATAAATTTAAAAACTTTCGGTAACATAGCGGTAATTACACAGATTGTAACTGTAAAAATACCGCGATAAAAGCCATTTAACACGAACCTGTAAAATAAACATATGTTGCGATTGCCCGTATGAGGTAGAGTAGTATTATTTTTTATGGAGAGGTAAACGAGCAAACGGTTCACCTGATGGAAAGTGAATACCGCCGCCCATAAACGCTTGCAACTCAGGAGTGACAAGGAGTACTCTCTTTTCTTGAAGGTTTGAAGGTCGTATCGATCCGGAAATACCGCAGACGATAATTTGTTCCTGAAGTTCCTAAACATTGATTGAACCAAACAGGTAGTAGGTACATCCTCTCAAATTAAATCGGTTAACAAAAGTCTGAGTTTTGAGGTTACAACATTCTAAAAAACAACGGCTTTGAGGAGTTCCTGTTTTTTGTAGTCTGTTAAAATCTAGTTTTTTTTTTATTGGAACGAAGTTCCTTATCGCGCGTTGTGAAAGGGAAACGGAAAAAAATCTCACGAAAAGTTGTAACGACACTTTTTATTTTGACTTGTCACTTGTCAGTCATTCAGCGCCATCTATCGAATAGATAGGAAATCATTACTTTTCATCTCAGTAAATTTAAAATTTATGTTCTTAGGTTGAGCAAAAAATACTGTATTCGACATCATTTCTCAAGGAGATTTTACCAATGTATAAATTGTTTTAATTAGAAACCAACTGATAAATATGTAGGTAATAGCCGCTTTCATAGATGGCGTTGTAATTAAAATCGTGTCAAATCAGTTTTACTCGATCGTTACAACTTCGTTCCTATCGGGTGTCCCACGACACCACACGGCTTTTTATATTTATATTATGTATTTACAAATATACATATAAGTCTGCTTTTCAGCAGATTTGTTACCATAAAAGAGACTCTGGCTAGTTTGGTCATGTAAGATGTGAGAAGTAATTATTAATATTATTTCTTTAAAATTAAAGTTGGTAATACATTTAATTTGGTGGCGTTTAATACTACCTTACCCCTTCGAGTTTATAGGCGATAGCGTGTACGTGAAAATACAAATTTATAGACAACTAGCTGACCCGGCAAACGTTGTATTGCAAAACAAAAAAAAAATAGGGATGGGTCACCCTTACCATTTAGGGGTATGAAAAATAGGTGTTGGCCGATTCTCAGACCTACCCGATGTGCACACAAAATTTCATGAGAATCGGTCAAGCCGTTTCGGAGGAGTACGGGAACGAACTTTGTGACACGAGAATTATATATATAAGATTTAGGTATGTAGGTAAATATTTATAAACATAAATAGAAATATGTTTACACGACAAAAAATAAGGTTATGAAATGAATATCACACATCTACTGAATGCTTAGTTAGGTAGTACCGTTGGGTGAGTAAGCAAAAATTTATTTGTGTCACTCGCCACCTTACTAAGGCTTCAGTGCTATATTGAGACTTACATGTTAGCTACGATCGATGGTATACTGACAGGTTTCATTTATTAGAAATACGCTCCAAAATTTTATGTTACACTAGCTGCCCGGCCCGTCTTCGCACGTTTAGTGTATCCATTTTGAAAACTAAGATCACCAATCCACCGGGTCCAATTATATTTTTAAATCATCCAGGAAACCATCGAAATACCCATATAAAACTTCAACCTAATCGGTTCAGCCGTTTAGAAATTATGTGAATAAGATAAGTACGAAATGATAATTCTTACTAGACGTTGTCCTATTACCCGTTTTACCGAAGGAATAAAGCATTTTCACGCGGTGAAAAGTAGCCTATGTTCAACAGAGACAATGTCAGCTTCTAATGGTAAATCTTTGCTCTTTATAATATTATATATGTTACACAAGTTATCGGGGAAACGATCCCGAAAACGAAGACGACAGAACTATAGTCCTTCAATGTCGTGCGCGACCGTCCTGCGGGGTGACAGACGGTGGCGGGGACGAGGTACTCAAGATGTCAGCGGGTAGCGGGTGGTATAGCGGGGAAGGGAAACGCGTGCGTTCATGTGTAGCCGTGTGCTAGAATGACGCGCTACCTTGCCCCCGCCACTGTCTGTCACCCCGCGGGACGGTCGCGCACGAGATTGCCGGGTTATAACGATACCTTTGATGATCGGTCGTTTTGTTGACGAGTTGACGAACAAGTACAACTAAACACAACGATAATTTCATTAAAAATACATCAATTCATTTAAAAAATCTTATGGTATATGTATAATGCTAGTATAAAACTTTGTAAAATGTATGTAATATCGTTGGTTTCCTATATTTAAAGGTCGTCCATAAATTCGAAAATTTATTCCACAATATATGATTGTGCGAAGCAAAAACTTTTTTTTCTTTTTTTTTTAATGTAGGGGGCAGACGAGCAGACCGGTCACCTGATGGAGTGACTATCGCCGTCCATGAACGTCTGCAACTTAGGAGTCACAAACGCGTTGCCGGCCTTTTAGGAAGGAGTACGCTCTTTTCTTGAAGGTTTGAAGTGTCTCGAAAAGCGCACAGTAGTGGAGCACCAACTATCCAGGTAATGAGGATGAAAATTTTGCCGTGTGCGAGTTACTTTCTGCGAGGTACACAGTAGTAGAGTGCCAATTATGTAACTTTTACAAATTACGTTATTTTCATTAAAAAACACCTAATTAATGCGAGAGCCTTCCAGTGGTCGCATTTGATGATTAATATCTGAGCTAGCTAGCTCTCCCTAGCAGGCTTATCGATCAAATCAAACGCTAAAATGCAGAAAAGTGAGAGGAAAGATTTTACATATTGAAAACAGAATTTAAAAAGTAAAAATATTTTTTTTTGCTTTTCCTGTAATTCCAAATTTAAATTGTATTGCAAAATAATCTCTTTATTGCCTGTTTTAATGACTGATTAGATAACATTTGTACACAACACATTAGTTAATTATCACAAATGGTATTTTTGAATATAAACTTACAAGTTATGTACTTCACAGCAGCTTGAAATATTTTAAAAAAAGTCATGCTCTAAATGACTTCCAACTATGAACACTCAAATTGCTGAAATTCAAGCGAGGAATAATTCATGTCAAAATCTAATTACGAAAAATACGGAGCTCTCGTATATGGTGTGTAACGTCTAACATCTCACCGCCATCTGACGGACAAGTATAGCACCGCGCGCGCTCATTTGTCAAATCAATTAGCCCGCGCTTCCGTCCTGTTACAAACTTCCGTCCCATTTCAAAAAATAATTTTCAAAGATTGCAGAAATGCGAGATCGAAGATGTTACACATAACAAAAACGGTACACAAACGCAACAAGAACACAATGAGCAACTAAATAAAACGAGCAAGAAGCGAACTACGTACACAAATCACAAGCGAGATTTAGACTTAAGTGAACTTCACGACCATGCAACGAAAATAGGGTTGCCACCAGCGCATTATAATAAAGTATGTGTCCTCTGTTTTATACTCGAGTATATACGCAAGTATATTTAATATATTAGGTTATAAATCTGATTCATTTCTGACCTAAATTTTATTTAATAAAAAAAATATTACTTGCAATGTCAGACAATTAATACTTGAGATACTTGATATCTGAGGTACTTATATTCTTAAATTTCAATTCAAAAAATGTTCGCAAATGCATGGAATGCCAATTTCATCTTAAATGAAGCAAATAATTACCAGGTTACCCTGTATTTTTTTATGTTTTTCGTTATGTATTAATATTAAATAGGTCATCAGCATCAACAACGTTTAATAGTCCACTACTGGACGTAGGCATCTCCTCAGAAAGGAGGGTTAATATTGTTGAATTGTTTTTAACTTTATTAAATGAAACTTGGTGGCAACCCTATGCGAGGACCTACGTCCAATGAACGGCAGCCGCGCAGTGTCTGCTTTAGCGACCACACTGGGCGCGCCGAGGCAGACGATGGCCATCGCGTCGAAGAACGAAGAGTGAGGAGCCATGACCACCACAGGAGCGTCACGTGAGTTTGACGGCAAGTGGTGCCGACCCAAGACCTTCACGCGATGGAAGCCAGCAGCCACCACCACCAACCGCATTAGCGATAAGATTGAGAACCGCAGTTTGCTGTAAAATATATCTTAATGTTACAAACATTAAGTCAAATATGGTTTGGCATTATTTTTATTAAATAAAAAAAAATAACATTTTGTCTATGCTTAAAAATGAGCAGACAAAAATGTGCACAACTGATTTTTTTACAGGCATCTTGATCTAGTGGTTAATGCCCTTGACTGCTAAACCAGAGGTCGTGGGTTCGATTCCCATCCAGAACAAATAATTATGTGATGAGCACGGTCATTTGTTCTGTGTCTGGGTGTAATTTATTTGTAATAATATGTATAAAATATAATAAGGCAAGAACATATTGCCAAGCCTATTATTTTTTTATTATGCCTGCAAACCTATTATTATCAGCACTTTCTTGTCAGAGCTGGTCACATTTGTCCCTGATCTCTCCTTTTAGTGACGTCACATTTTTTACAATTTTACATCTGGAAATTATTAAATAAAAACAGGTTCCAAAATGCGTTTTTAATTCCATCCAAATTATTTTCAATAATTTTAAGATTGTATAAATATTTACAAAAATCGACATTAAATCTCACTTCGTTAACCTCCTCCCTCCCCCCCCTTCCTCTAGGTGTGACGTAATTTATGAATGATCCCTAAGGTGGACTTAATGCACAGGCATTTTCTTCCAGTCAAACCTTTGAGTGTTGCAAAGCGGTGTGTGGAAGGTGTATATTTGGAAAAGGTAAAACGTGACACTAAATTAAAAATGTTACAAAAGAAAAAAATCCAAACATACATACACATACATATAATTTATACATACTGTATTATAGTATAAATATCAAAACAGTATCAAACAGTATTATACTGTATAATATATTACATAAATAATAAAGACACTCTTAAAGTGTTACTCAGACAACTCCGTCTACAAGTAAGTCTCTGTAGAGCTTGCGTTCCGTTTCACGAACACTTCACTAATCTGTCTGGTGATTTTAAAAATAAATAATGTTAATGAGGTATGATCCCAAATTGGGTTGTGTGATTTTTCCTTTTAGTGAAGTCGCAACTTTACTAGTAATTTGCTGAAGTTAATTCTAAGATAATGTTGTTGCCAACTGTAGCGATCATCGCATATAAGTACAACAATCTCTACCGGTGTGATAATAAATAAAGCCATGTGGTGTCGTGGGACACCCGATAGGAACGAAGTTGTGACGATCGAGTAAAACTGATTCGACACGATTTTAATTACAACGCCATTTTTCAGTTGGTTTCTAATTAAAACAATTTATACATTGGTAAAATCTCCTTGAGAAATGATTTCCTATCTATTCGATAGATGGCGCTGAATGACTGACAAGTGACAATTCAAAATCAAAAGTGTCGTTACAACTTTTCGTGAGAATTTTCACAACGCGCGATAAGGACCTTCGTGCCAATAATAACTGTACATCAGTTGGATTATTAGATTTAAGATGGATTAGATTTGGACCTACTTATGCAAAAAGGAACCAATCCACACACATGCCAAAATGGAGTTAAGTATGCACCGTGTGAAACCTTTCAAAGTGTACTTTCTATCGACCCTGTAAGAATTTGACAACTTTGACAGAACTAAACATTTTTATGACGTATTTTTATGAAGTTTACCAACCCACATTAAACCAATAGTTTAATAAGCAAACAAGATTTATGTGCTCTGGTAACTTGACCATCTAGAAAGTTTGTGAGTTTTTCTTTTTTAAAAGGAACCATGCCACATGGTTTCTTGTAATTATTTTAAAATTTAGTCTTCATATAGAACCATGTGGGTTGGTTCTTTATTTTAAAAGACTTACATTACTTGATTCCTTGTTAAAAGTATTCTGTTCAAATCATATAAGGTATTGTCGTTTGAGTCTGTGTTGTATAATAAATTTGAAATGGATGAATGAATTTTAATAACTTTCTCTCGAACGATTCAAACTTCGCAAATATTGAATGTACCCTAAACCATCAACGGAGGCTCTGTACACCGGATGATTACCTTCAGGTTATGGAAACTTGTAAGAAGACAAATCCAATGCATGTAGGTACATAGGATGAAAAATTAAGATTTTTCAATTTGCTCAAGTCAGAAAAGAATTTAATTAAAAAAAAGTTCCATGGCTCAATACTAAACAAATTATGATAAAAAGGATAAAATGTTCAAGATTTACATGAAAAGAAATTTGAATGAAGATTTTATGTTGGATGACAAAAAAAATGTTCGCGGATGATACCATATTGCCCATATGTTTTAATAAAACCTCTTTGACAACAGGGAAACCTGTCCCTGAAGCTAAATTAAATGACTTACAAAGTAGGCTAGTCCCCATTCCCCAAGATTCACATGATTTTTATATAAAACTTGTCGAAAGTGCAGACATAGAGAATGATCTAGGTTTTTCGGGTCAGCCTGATTTTGAAGTCGAGTTACATTTAGACTGAGTTTTGGTATTTCGATAAACATTTAAATTTTGTTTTATTTTTCAATAAAATATATATTAAACTTAAGTTTTTTTATTTATTTTTACTGTTAAATTATGCTGAGGTAGTAAATTAACAAGGGATCAACCGTATATTACCCGTTACAACCGTAACACATATTTAGGTTTGGAACCATTGAAAAATGCATCACCGACTTTAATGCGCTTGAATCTTGATAAAAATCTAGTCTGGCCATAAATACTGTTAAAATTAAAAAGAAAACACAATTTTACATTTGAAAGTGGTAACTGTCATTCTTACTATAAATAATAATCATTGTGTTTTCTCATTTTGGCGCCAATCGGTGTCAAATATCTATATTATGATATTAAAATGGAGTGGGGTGATAAAGAGAACCAAATCGCTGGGTAATAATGAACGAATACGTAGTAGTATGTATACTTTATCGTATAGTTTTCTATCCGCAAAAATAATAAAAACTTGACACACCTCAGACACGGCCATCTGATCCCTAACTAGACAAAACCTCTACCACTGGTAATCAGACTGCTGATAAACATACATATACTTACATTACTAAATACGTTACTAAATTCGTTTTATGGATAAATTACACCCAGAAACAGAAAAAAAAGAACATGTTCATTACACAATATTTGTCCTGGGTCGGAATCGAGCGTTCAGACCTCTGGCTTACTGGCAACTCTAATTTAATAAATATTTAAAAGTATAAAAAAATCTATGCCCATATATAGTCAGGTAGACCAATTAAAACAACTATTATACAATTAAGTACGCTTTCTATGTGAAAGTTAGGACTCTTGCAAAATAAATTGTTACCCACAAAGTGAATTTTTATATCTTAAAAAAATGCGCGTATAAAGTGTTTCAGTAACATATTATAACGGAATACTTTCTAAAATAGTTAGATGGATATAACCCGTTCATATTACCCTCGTCCTACTACCTGATAGAGTCAAATTCAGCAATTTTTGAGAACCTTAAAGTATGAATTATTCACGCCTTTCTATTTCTTTCTCGCTTTGCTAAAGCAAGCACCAAAAACTACAATAGACCATGGTCATGGTACAATAGTTTTTTTTTTTTTTTACTTTTTGGATATATGTCCAGTAGGTTTACATGACCAGTTTTAGTTTTTTAAACTTTATACTGTTGTTTATTTTTTTTAAGTTTCTGCAATTGTTCTACTTAAAAACATTAAGCATTCCTAATTTAAAATGATAATGTGGTAAAGAATTAGAAGAGTATTTCTGCCCAAAATTTAAGGTGAATTATTTGAAGCTGAGCTCATGAAATGTATGTTAATTTTATAGCTTTTTACATAGAGCTATAGTTTTCTTTTTTAAACTTATCATATTTTAATATACAGAGCTATTAGGTATTTTTGTGTTCTCGAGTTTAGTTTGTAACTCTCACATACTTGATACACTTTCGTAATATATTTTTAAAATTACATTTCTTTTTTCAGCACAATAAGAATAAAATCTTTTGACGTCAAAACGGAATCTGCTGACGTCAGCCAATGTTTTACCACAAAGTACCTACATTATAATATGAAAAAACTGTCAACTGAAAAGGGTTAAAGTACTATGAATTTATTATTATCAGGTGTCACGTTTCCAATTCAAAATATATGCGAGAGAGGACACGGAAAAAAACGTGTTATATACCTAAACATCGTACGGAACCCGATCCACGCGAGTACAACACACACTGGGTCTTTTATTTTAGTTACGAATTTATACGATAGTTTCCTTTACAAGTTTCTTAACCTTCTCAACTTTCTTACATCAAAAAATGTGCGTAATTTTGAATTTGCTCAGAAAAATATGACGAATAAAAAAATAAAAAAAAATTGTAAAAAATGTGACGTCGCACAGCCCGCTTGTCATACTTGTGACCAGCTGTGTGACAAGGGGGTGGGGATAAGAATAGATTTGCAGGCATAATAAATAAATCATAGGCTTTGTATAAAATAAGATAGTATATTTATATAGGTCATCTACTTATACGATCATCACACATAGAAGAATAGAAGATAGATATAAACGCAATCATGGCGTTTTTTCGAAGCATTAAACCATAACGGCTTTGTCTGAGCAACTCTACTGTACCTGTGAAACCAGTAATTATGGCAACTCCGTAAGACAGGTATTATGAACTAGCAACATCATTGGGCCGCTAACGCACAACAAATATACACGTTTTGAATTCCGAATTAATAAATCAAATTTGTGTCAAAACATAAGTTCTTAATTTGAATCGTTACAAGTGTTTTGACCTCTTTCAATACATCATAACATCGAAAATTGATGATTCATTACCATCATTCTAAATTTGTTTTTTTTTTCATACATATACCTTTCTTCTTAGTTATGGGTATTGTTTTTTTTAAATATGTCATACTCTAAATGTAGAACTTTCTGACTAGTTTGTAAATGAAAGTGAAACAGACCAACGGTTGTATCGTATCGATTAAAATGTCTGGCTGCTGGTAACGGGTTAGGCTGCTGTCCGAACCCGTATTTTT